GCTTCTGCTGCGTCCGGTTCACACCGCAGCGGTTGAATAACAGCGAGCACAGCATTAATTTGTTTCACCAGGTTTTTGTCATCAGCTGTGAGATGGGCACGCATGGAGTTACAGATTAACAGCGATGGTGATGAGTGGAAAAGAAACACCTGGTCTCCTTACATTCAGCCACTCTTTCATCATCTCCTCAATGAGGTGGTCTCAAAAGTCGCAGTTACAACACACATAGGGCGCACCGCACCAAAGGGCGCACCGCACATTTTGAGGGGAAAAAAAGATGTTTATGTGCGCCTTATAGTCGTGAAAATACGGTAAAAAAAAATGGTGGCGCCCCCAACTTTCAGGAACTTCTGTGCCTGGATACTGTCCTCCACCGAGATTTCAATGAGAGAGCCTCAGTCTCGGCATCATCTCAGGTCGCACCATACTCTTTTGGTGCCATTTATTGTTAATAAGATAAGAAGAAGTTTGTGTTCTGAACAGGAGAAGAGATCTGTGGATAGCAAAGCTGTACATGCCGAAAAGCCTGCGACATGAGTCAGGTAACTGTAACTAGACGATTACATGTGCTCTTTGTTTTTAAAAAACATTTTTTTTGTCTCTCTATTTCAGATCGAGTTTCATTAATTGCATTCTATTTTAGCTTATGTCTTAGAGATCAAATTCTCTTAACTTCAAATCCAACACAAACACTCGCTCTTGAAAATGTAAATGTTTAGCAAACCGAACAGAAATGCATCGTCACTCCTCATTCCAGAGGAAAGCCTAATCTGGGAAATGCAATTTTAAGAGTGGAATTTGTAAACCTTTCTCTAAAAAGAAAAGGAAAAAAAATTTATTGAAAAAATAAAACTTGGAAAAAATATAGAGAATAGACAAAATAAAATGTAAGAAAATACATTTGAAAAAAATAAAATAGTCTTTTAAAAATCTGAAAAACAAGTGAAGTTCCTCCCAAAGGCTTTATGTTTTTTTTTTTTTCTTTCATTTCTGGACTGGATATTTTTCAAATTTCAAATTTACCAAACGTGTTTCTGCTTGCATCAATAATGGAACAGATTTCACTCTGTATACTTGAATATTCATGAGGAGATGCAGCGCAGCTTTGATTAAAGGCTACGCTGTAAAAAACAAAACAAAAACTTCAGAACAGATTGACAACCAACCTTTTGTCTGCAAGGTCTGTCTTGTTTCCCACCAACATGATGATGACATCACTTCCCCTCTCTGTTCTGACATCATCAATCCACTTTGTAGTTTGTTGGAAAGAGTTGACGTCTGAATAAAAACAAAACTGTTCAGAGAAAAACCTTTTCTTTTTAGGAAAAGAAAAATTTGCAAATTCATCCGTTTTTTTCTTTTTTTTCCCCTCCAAGGAAATTAAACAGAACTTCAGTATAATTCATCAGCCAACCGAACATCACCTACTTGTAATGTCGTAGACGACGACAGCAGCAGCGGAGTCTCTGATGTAACTCGGGATCAAGCTGCGAAATCGCTCCTGTCCTGCCGTGTCCCACAACTGTAACCTGATCTGTTGGCCAGGGAGAGGATGGGACGGGAAATAATAGAGCAAGAAAAGAAAAAGAAATAAAGAGAGAACGGAAATAAAAAAGAAAACAGATAAATGAGCTATGGCAATATGGCCAAAACAAAGAGAAAGAAAATGAAGACAGACAGATGGAGGGGGGGAAATAAAAATGGACACTGGGTGTAGGGAATGCAAGGAGAGAGCAAGTTGTCTGGGCCTGGAGGGAAAGAAACAAACAACCTTCCACTTATCGTTGTCCCTCTACTCCTGATCAAGTAAGGTCTTTTCATTTCAAAAATGGGATGGGAGACAGGTGGGGGGGTGGGAAGGAGACGAAGAATACTTAAGTTGAAGGAGGAAGCGTTCAGTGAAAATATGGAGTATCCGGAGGATAAAGTGTCCCTTTTACGACGTTAGCAAGGCATAAAAAAAATGTGTTAATTATACAACCCCCCACCCCCAACGGCATTACCCCACCACAGGAGAATCCTTCACCCTCTGCAGCTCTGACAATAAACCTACCGTTCTGTCTTCCAGATACATGGTTTTGGAGAGGAAATCTATTCCTATTGTGGCCTGAAAAAAAAAGGAGAAATGGTGAAATAATCCACACCCTTAGCAACTAATAGTGATGAAAAACTGCTCTTACTCACTTGGTATGTGTTGTCAAAGCTGTCATACATGAACCTGGTGATCAATGACGTCTTCCCCACTGATAAATAGAAAAAAAAAAAAAACTATTAGTTCAAGCTGGAAGTTATTCAGCAAAGTAGCGACCTTTCCAATACAGATTAAAAACATTCTGGAACGAGATCAATAAATATAACAGAGGAGACCTAAAACTGAACAAATACCATTTAAGGAGACATAAAAAAGTCTAATTTCAAGCAATTCACAATTTAAAACTTTAAGTTGAATGTCTGATCTGATCCCTTTAATTTATTATCATAAAACATGTCCTTTACTTATAATGGAAACAATAATGGAAGAAAATTCACTCCATATAAAGTTGTTGAAGTCATTGTTATTTTTTTCTGTTGCACAAATTGACTCAGATTCAGTTTACTGAGTTTATGAACCAAAGTTTGTACATTCTGCTAATTAAATTTGCACGGATCATGTTTAGTTTTTATTTTCATTGATATCAAAGTACCTCTGTTGGTTTCCTAAGCACCAGATGTAACACTCAACATGCGTGTTATTCATAAAGCCTGTTAGCGGTATTTAAACTGAGACTAGGGTGAAGTTAATTAGCGTCACTCTTTCATAAGGGGTTAACTCCTCAAGCACAGCACCAAAAGTATGTCTGATCCGCTGTCATATTAGGGCTGGGCGATATAGAAAAAAAGCTTAT